GGCGGCCGCAGGGGCGGGCCCGGGGTGACCGCAGGGGCCCCCCACGGCCACGGCCCGGTGCTGGGACTTGGGCTTGACGCGGCGATTGGCCCCCCCAGCTCCCACAGGCAGAAGCCCAAAGTGACACTTGAGAGCATGAGCAGAGCCAGTCACAGCAGCCTGGGGGACCCCCGAGAGCCGCCGGGGCTCCCCGAGATGCGAGGAGGGCCGTTTGTGGGCGTGACAGGGTCCCAGGGCCGGTTCGCCTTATACTCTAGGAAAACAAGGACGTGGCTGGGCTGTGCGTGCGGGGAGCAGGCGGCCGGCCAGGGCCCGAGCCCCCGGCAGCCGCTGTCCATCCCCAGAGTGGCCTCGCGGGCCTGGGCCGCAGCAGGCCCGGGGCAGGGCCTCTCGGAGGCTCCAAGCCACTTGGACCTGCGGCCGCTGGCCCGGGCGTGGGGGCGGGGTGCATGCGTGCCAAAGACAGACGCCCCACTAACGGCAGGACAAGGCCCCTTTATGAGGCCAACGGCCGCCCCACCTGGGCCGGCTCCAGCGCACACACAGGCAGGCTGAAGCCACCGCGGCTGGGAGCGGCCGGGAGCGGGCAGGGCCCCGCCTGGACAGCAGGCCCGGCAGCGCGCTACCGCCACCTAGTGCCCGGCCGGCGCCGCACCCCAGCCCAGGGCCCGCAGCGGGGTGTGGTTGCTGGACACTGGGGGAAGGTTCCAGGGCCTGCGCGGCCGAGGGGCTCCAGCGGGGGGCAGGGCTCCAGCGGGGGGCAGGGCTCCAGAAGGGGGGACGGCGTGGGGCTGCAGGCCCCCGGGGAGCAGCTGGGCGTCCGCCTCCCTCTGGGGGCTGGGGCCGGTCCCCCGAGGCCAGCCGGGCGACACCCCGCGGCCAGGCCCACTCACCAGCTGCACGTACGCCACCTTGTAGTCGGGCTTCTTCACGCGGCAGCCCCTCTGGTCCCGCTTCCTGTGGGAGCCTGGGGAACAGACCCCACTCCGCAGGCCGCTCCCCCCGGCCAGCCCCCCCCTTCCGGACAGAGGCGGCACGCGGCATCGGCAGGGCCAGGGCCCGGCCTGCCGCCCCGCTGCTCCCGACGCCGGCTGGCTGGGCCCGGGGGTCCACGCAGGGGCCCCAACACCCACCGTGCTGCACCCTCGTCCGCACGGCGGCCACCGGCACGTTGTAAATGCGCTCCAGGTAGTTCCTGAGGTCCACCCTGGTCATCCTGGCAGCGTGGACAGAGGTGCGTGTGACCCGTGGGCCCGGGGCAGGCCCGCGCCACGGGCACCCGCGCACCCCAGCGACCCGGCTCACTCCATGGGGATCCGGAACTGCACGGTGTCCTGGGGCTGGGCCGTGCCAGGCCGCACCAGCTGGACGAAGAAGTTGGTGCGGAAGACGCGGAGCTGGGGGCTGCCCAGCTGGTACAGTGGGTACCTGCAGGGGCGGGGGCCACGTCACACGGCCGGCCCTCGCAGCGGCCGCCCGGGCCTGACCAGTGTGGGCAGCCTGTCCCCCCACCCCCACACAGGCGTGCTTGTGCCACAGTGCCAGGCCCCGGCCCCTCCGGCCGCTGGCCGCGCCCACCCCGGCCCTCGCGGACTGGCCGCACGAGGTGGCTTGCTCCGAGGACCGAGGCCAGCACTGCCAGGGTGACGCGTGCAGGAGGGCGCGGGGTTCTCGGGGCCCACGAGCTGGCCTCCCCATGCCGCAGACCCGCAGGGCCGGCAGAGGCTGCTGGAGGGGTCCGCCCAGCTCTGGCGGCCCATCATCCACTGGACCTCACTGGGTCCCGGGAGCGGGGGCCCTGGGCAGGCCTCAGCAGAGGGGATGGGGCACAGGCCGTCCAAGGGAGACCCCCAGGCCTGCTGACCCTCGGCAGGGCC